AAGAAAACCCCCCCCCCCCCCCCCCATGTTTCTGTTTGGGGCAATTTGGAGATCTGGGCAGCTATGTACATGGGAAGAAAAACCTTTCTCAGGAGTGTTGGGAACTGTTAAAAAAAAGGAAGGAAAGAATCACTCTGAATATGTAGCAATGCTGACTTTTAAATTCCTTTGAATTATTTCATCATAATGACTGCAGGAAAATAGAGCTGGCTTCTGCTTCCCTATTTACAGAGGGTTTTTTTTTTATAAATATACTTGTAATGTTTTAAATTACAAGAACTTTGGTTATTGGGTAGATCAGAAATAGAATATGGCCCAGGGCAGACTACAGGTAATCCTTGTTTAGCGACTGCCTCATACAGTGACTATTCACAATTATGATGGTGATGAAAAAATAACTTTGTGACCAATCCTCGCATTTATGACCTTCACAAGTCTGTACAGCAAGGGAAAGCTGAAGTAAGATCATAAGCGCAGTTGCAGTTTCACTTAGCAACTGCTTTGCTTAACAACTGAGTTGCTGGTCCCAATTGTGGTCGCTAAACAAGGACTATTTGTAGTAGATAGATATTTTTTGACTCCTCAGTCCAGGGTTGAGAGAGAAAGACTGGCCCAAAATCACCTAGCTGGCTTCCGCACCTAAAGGAGGACTAGAACCTAGGTCTCTTTCCTTCTAGTCCAGCATTGTAGCCACTACACCACACTGGCTCTCATAGATATACATCAATCTCTATTTCTATATATTCATATTCTCCCATCACCCATCATCTGCTATGCTCTGGTTAACCATTCAAATGCCCCCAGGAGCTCTGGACTCAGGATCAAGAGCCCAGCTGAGATGCAGGGCTACGTTCTCTTCTCCCTGATCAGACTCAGAGATGGGCTAGCAAAATCTCTCATTGCCCCTTCGGTGTAGGACCAATGTGAACGACCAGGCATGCAACGCATGCATCCGTCACCCCCCCAAAAAGTGCAACTGATTTGTCATTTTTGCTGTTGCAGGAATGAAAACAGATGAAGGCACGGGGAATGATTTTTATCAAGGGTATTTAATGAATGTTATATCATTGAAACCAAATCAAAAGTTAATGATATAATGTTTTCACCACTGCTGTTTATTGATGAGATGACTTCTGGGGATTGCCAGGTGAGTCAATGAACGTGTGCTGGCATTTCACAAGCCACACGGTCAGATTGTTCGGAAGTGGTTTGAAACTGCATTCATTTATGGAACTCAAGTCCAGAAAATATCATGTGATGGTCATCGCTTAGATGGCCATAAAAGGAGATTAGACATGCTCACCCATCAATGGCTCATACACATGGCTGACCAATGGCATCTCTAAGACCTAGAGAGACACAGATGTCCTACTTTACATAGGACAGTCCTCTGTTGCATATCCAGTTTAAAGAAACATAAGAAGGAAACGATTCAAGGTAGTTGCCCAAAATACAAAAGATACAAAAATAGATTTATCAGAAAGCAGGAAGCAAATCTACAATTGTTTTGCACATCATTTTAAGCCCAGGTTTGCTTAAACACTGTTCATTGACTCTGCTACAATTGGCCAGTTTTGCAATGCCATAAGCCATGGTTTACAAACCATATTGTGGCTTATCATAATGGGAGAACACCACCATAGTTATTTGGTACAAGCCACAGGGACACCATATGCGCCATGATGTCCTTATGCAAATCTTTATTTATTTATTTATTTATCAAATTTCTATAGTCACCCATCTCACAGAAGAAGACTTGCTTCAGTTATGTCCTGCCTTTTTTCCTTCTCAGTCAGTACATCAGTATTTGAGGCTGGGTTCCAATGTTGGGAGGGTTAAAGGCACTGAAGCGACTTCCCTATTGGTACCCAATACCCCTCAGGTTTCCTTATTTGTAACAAATACAAATTACTCCAACAAATACATAAATAAATGATAAAAGTCACCAATGCATATTTGATAGCGCTGTCCCATGTGTACATGGGAGTAAGCCCCACAGGACTCAGTGATACAACTTTTGCATAGAAATGTGCTGGCTGAAGCAAGCAGTCCCCATGCTGCCCTAAATACCCACTGAACTACATTTTAAGAAAAACATTGCATCCTGCATCCCCCAGACCTTGTTTTTCTGTACGGTTTTGAGTTTCTAGAACTGCTCTCATCTGAGTTCCCTCTAATCTAGCTCAGAGATCCCATCCTTTCCAAATCTTTTGGAAAAATTCGATTTCTTTTTCTTGCAAAACCTCTAAAGCCTGCCCGCAAAGACATAACACAACAGAAGCAAGTTGAAGAGAAAAAGTACAGAGAGGAACAAATAATGCAGCTGCAGCGCCTTAACTAATGCAGGAGAATAAGAATCATAACATCAACCCTAGCCGGGATAAAAACGAGAAGGCACTTGCCAGTGACCGCAGAGAAATACAAAGTCAGGAGTCTAGGCTTCATCCTCCGCTGTTGACGGCTGACTGCACCAAAGCCTTAGAAAGGTGAGAGAATGGGAAGACGCTTGTGCTTTCCAGAAGAAGTGGGTGTTTCAGCCATGGCTTAATGTTTCTGATTTGCACAGGGCTGCTGGGACAAAGGGGAAGCAGCCTCAAGAACCATAGGGGGAAGTGTGGTACGTGTGGCTAGGCTGGAGAGGCCAAAATAGAATATTAGAGCATCAATACTAATTTCTCAAGGAAATGAGTCATCCAGTTTATCTTCATGTCTGCCCTTATCTCTTCACACATTCAATGTGTTGTGGCACTTTGTAGCTGATGGTAAGAGTAAACTTGCTTTCTGTCAGAGGTCAGACTTCGGGAGAGATGATGGTTCTTTGCATCTTCGGTCTCCAGAACCGTTCCAAAAAGTGCAACCAGTATCATTGGGGGTGGGGGTGGGGGGGTTGCTAAAAGCCTTTCTCTCATTTGCTGGGATGAATAAAAGGCAAACTGTATGTTATGTGTAGGCTTCACACTCCTATATGGGCACTTTGTTCCAAACAGAAACACCAAATGATGGAACGGCTGCCAATTGTCAGTGATCTGATCCAGGATGGATCTGTAGTAGTGGGCTTGGGGTTGCATACAGTCCATAGGACATTAGTTGTCCGTGCCAGGACAGCTCCATGCTCCATTGTCAGCCTTGTGAGGTAGTCCACACAAGAAGCACACCCAGAAGTACTAGCTCTAACTTTATTGTAAGGGTACATTAACAGAATCTTGCAAGTTTGCAAGATCATCTGTCCCCCCACCCCCGTCTTTACAGTCCAGGAAATCAGGGAGGGTCCCTTCTGAGATGTTTGCCACGCCCCGATTCCTTCCGTGGGCTCAGCTGCCTCTTATCTGACCATTGTCTAGTCTGCAGCTCTTCCCCCTGTCTCCCAAGGTCATTCCCACATACCATTACATCCATGGAGTCTACAAGTCTAAAATATGATATTGACTGCTCCCTTCTTCTTTGTACTCCAATAGATTTACAGTATTTATTCACATAAACTTTAGAGACCATATCT